ATGGGTCTAAAAATGCATATATTTTTTGTGTATCAAGTTCCAACAAAGCTCTCTCCTTTGGTTCAAAGGATAGTTCTTATCTCAGAAGATTTCTAAAGGGTGTACCTTTTGTGTCTATTATTGTCTGTGTGTTTTATACTTTTTGACCCAGATGATAATCCTAAGATTGTAATCATGTGTTGGTGGTTAGAAGGCTATAGTAAGATAATAATGATCAAACAATCATGGTTAGATGATAATTGTTAAATAATGATGGTCAGAAGACCATAATCTAGAAATAGTGGTTGAAGCAATTATAATTGATTGACTTAGGTAATGGTCTTATCGTTAGTGCGTGGTGGTTAGTAGGGTTATAAAAATATCTCATCATTTGAGAACAGCACGTATTTGACTAGCTATATAGTTTGTGTTTGATTTGTTCGTTAAACAAACGAGCTCAACACACACACACACACACACAAAAGCTCAATTTATAATCTCGCTGAACGCTGACAAACTTTTGAATTAACTAATAAATAAATAATATGTAAAGTTAAAATAGTGGTATCTTTGATATGATATCAATGATTTGGTTTGTATAAATATAAAAAAAAACAAAATTTACGTGTTAGTTATGTAAATACATAAGAATTGGGTGGTATGTATGCAAATACTCCTAAGATTTTTACTGCATTTAGTATTCGATACATAAATACATAAGGTTTGGGTGGTGCATATGTAAATGCCCCTTGACTTTTTATTGGGTGTTGGATATATAAATAGGTAAGAATTCGGCGGTATATATGCAAATGCCCCTAGAATTGGAATTGACTTGCAAGCCTGCGGTCCCCGCCTGCCGCTGGCATTTAGATTTAGTTGTCATTATGTAAATACATAAGAATTAGGTGGTATGTATGTAAATGTCCCTAGAATTTTCTACAAATTTATTAATTTGAAAAGATTTAGAAGCTCATGGAAGGGAGGTGATGTTGTTTGTATTAGTAAAAATATTAGTTATTTTTCTAAGTTTAGTAATAAGAGTTTAATTTATTAAACTCTCTTTAATTCTGTTACATCTTTACTAATCTCATATATAAATTGAATAGAAGTTCGAGGCGAGGCGAGGCGAGGCATAGATCCATTAATTAAGCTTGACTCGAGCGCAAATTTGAGCATAGCATTAGCTAATTCAGACAAATAAATTTGAATCAAGTCAAACAAGAATCTAAGCTCATTTTAAACCAAAAAAAGGAAAAAAATATCAAATGAGTTAAATAAGAACAAGCTCTGGGCTCGCTCAAACTTGGCTCGTTTACACCACTAGTGGTAAGGGGACCATGCTCGAGCAACTTAATTGGGTGATGTTGAATGGGTAGTTGTGATCCAACAATAGTTGTGAACTGATGATGATGATGGTGATTTGCCAATAGCAATCAGGTTACATTGGTCAAATAATAGCTTTACAATAATGGTGATAGCCTAATGTCTGTTCTTCCATGGCAAAAGTTGGTTGGGAAATGGTCTAATGATAATGGTTTTTTGATGGTTCAAAATGTTGTTCTTCCAACAACTGTTTGACATTAATGGTTTGTTGTTGGTGATTGGGTGGTGATAGTGCAATGGTAGTATTCTAATAATGATTATTGTGTAATGGTTATTTGACGACAATAATTGGTTAGTACCAATATGATGGAAATAATTAGGTCATAATAGTTTGATTATAATAGTTGAGTGAGGGTATTCAAATGATGATAATTTGAGAATGACTGTTAGGTAATGAAAATTTAATGACCATGATTGTGTAAAAGTAGTTAGATAATGTTAGTTCGATGAAGGTTATTAAGCGAGAATACTTTGACAACAAGATTAGTGTGTCGATGGTTCGATGAAAGAGGTTGGGCAATGTGAAGATCAAGCAATGATTATCTAATGAAGACAACTGGGTATCAATTTTTTATGAAGATAGTTTAGTGGAAGCATTTTAATAATGATGATTTTGTAGTAGTTGGATCGACGAAGCTAGTTTGTTAATGGTAGTAGTTTGATGGTGGGGATAATCAGATGGTGGCTATCCAATAGTGACAACTAAGCAATGGTGGAGGATGATGTTATGAGTTTGTAGAGTAGATTGATCACATATCAGTGATGTATTATAATTCATTGATATCATCCTATGAAACAAATTCCATATTTTTCATTCCTTCTCCATATCATATTTTTCACATAAGAAAATCATCACCTTAAAGCACTTAGTTCTTAGCATCTCTCCTTAGTACAAGCCCATTAGTAGGCTCCCTTAAATGATTTCATAATGAAAATAACGTTGGCTAGCCCTAGGAGCTTGAGTATAGAAAAAAACATAAGCTTAGGTGATACTTTTTTGCATCCATTTACCTACCTTTTACTAAACCAATTTGTTGGAACATCTTTGATCTAAAATAAAATTCAATTTAACACTAGACCATAAAATGAATTTAGAGGAACTCCTATAAGTTTATTTAAAATCAAAGAATATTCCAAATAATATTGAATTCAAAATCAAAACTAGAACCCAAGGCACCCCAGTTTATTTATAGGACCCACGTGCCCTATATAGTAGAAGATTCTAGAACAGTACTTAACTCACTTTAAAGTCCCTTGAACATTAAGATCTCTTTCCACACATTTTAGACGAGTAATTGACCCCTTAAGTAAACCTTAAATCAACAATAAGCCAACTTACAATAAAAATCTAAAACCTTTTCCAAACTTAAGCACAAGCCTTGTAGTACTCGATTAGTCTTAATTCTAAATTTTTTTAGGATTGAAAGACTATCTTATAGGCCCTTACGATTATCATGGATCATCTAATTAGTCAAATAGAATTGGTCAATCGATTTGACCAAGTGACCACTTGATAGTGGCCTAATATAAACCACTAAGCCAAATCAATATCATCTCCTTAATTATTTAGATTTAATGTACTCATGCAATAATAGGTTATTAAGAACCATATTTAATTTAAGTCTAAGGTTCTTGTCCTTATTTAAACTTATTTGAACAATTGACCTATTTGACTTACTAAGGGGATTACTCGTCCAAACCAACCCAAATAAGCAATAACTAGAAATATGTCAATATCATTAATTAATATTAGTTTTTAACTATATGTGTGACCGCCACTATTGCTAAATTAAAGTGGAAGAAAAAAGCTAACATGCTAAGTTTATTGTTTTATGAAAAACATATCCTTCAGAAATTTACTTACAACCACAAATTCAAAGGTGAATTTGTTTAGCCTAACATGCATAGACAAACAAAACAGAACATGTCATTCATTTCTTAATTTATGGGAGTTTACTAGAAAAAAAAACATGAGATAATATAAAAAGTGAACAAAAGAACAACGGCCTCTTAGTTTGTCGAATATTGAAGCTTGTTAAAACCCTCTCCAAATATTCATTTTCTCTTCCTCGCCTTCTCCACTTTTCACTAGACTAGATGACACTCATCTACCTCTCTCTCTCTCTCTCTCTCTCTCTGTATGTGTGTGCGCGCGCGAACATAAATAATACACTCCTTACCTCTAACACACACACTGCTTGCAAAATTTTCTTTTCTAAAGCCTTACAATGCACTCAACTTTTTGATACTATAATTTTACACAAATCTAAGACAAAAGGGAGGAAAGAAAGGAGGGAGTTGAATTGCGCTAATATAAATATTTGAAAATAAAGCTTCTTTTTTATGAAAATATCTTATGATTTTATGTGATTTATTAATAAAACTAAAAGACAAGAGTAAATTTGAAATATTAAATACATTTTAGGTGATAAAACATAATCTTCAAGAAAGAATAATATAAGTATAAAATACGAAAATCATATCATTAGGCATAAAATATAAAAACATCCAAAATTTTACTCGGATATATGTCCACCACTTCTATAACTTTTTGCATGATCTACATAAATAAAAAATCATTACAACTTCACAAAAAGGAAAAATATTTACATTGCACATTTTCCTTCGACAACCTCCTATAAACTAAGGCACCCTCTCCATCTTCTTCCTATGGCCTTCATAAGAACAAAATCATAAAATCATATACAAACACACATGAAATTAGATGATAAAAGAAATGGGTTCATACATCATTCCTTCAAACTCAAATCTTGCTTCAAAAGAAAATTTTAAAATAAAAAATGGGGGCCATAAAAAATAAGAGAAATATAGAGCTTATCTCAAATTAGATTCCATTCATGGAAAAAACATTACATCAGCACTAAGTACGTAGTAGAATTACCGTGCATAGCCAATGAAATCACGCTACGACACCCCGCGCGACAGGGGAAAAAAACGACGCAGTAACACAGAAAATATTCCCCTCTGTGTTTTTCATGTGTTATTGTGTGTTATTCATGTATTATTGTGTGTTATTCATGTGTTATTGATGTGTTATTGTGTTATTATAACACCAAAAATACTCTCATGACACAATAATACATGAATAATACACAATAACACCTGAATAACATGAGGAATATTCCCGACAGAAAAAAAGCAACGCAGTAACACGAGGGAATATTCTTTCATGTGTTATTCATGTGTTATTGTGTGTTATTTATGTGTTATTCATGTGTTATTGATATGTTATTGTGTTATTTATTGTGTTATTATAACACTCTAGGAATATTCTCATGACACAATAACACATGAATAACACGGGGGGAATATTATCCGTGTTATTGCATCATTTTTTTCTCTGTCGTGTGAGGTGTCGTGATGTGATTTCATTGGCTGCGCACGTTAGTGCGTAGTACTGATGTAATATTTTTTCCCATTAATGTATATTCAAATCTTCCGATATCTGATCCGATATTTAACTCTGATATCCGATCCGATACGAAGCCACAGATATTTCCACATGCGGAGCCCGCCACTTCCTCACACGTCACTACATGGTCCCCACATAAAGTCTAATTAATAATCTGTCATTCCATCCTTATCCAATCCTGCATAAAAGCCTCCGTTTTCTTCTTCCTCTGCATCAATTACCAAAAGAAAGAAAAAGGATAAACCTCTCCCCTAAAACCCTTTGGCTCTCTACCAAATGCTTCGATCTCTCGCACCTCCGACGTCTGCACCGCCCCTGCTGTTCGATTCCGCCGCCGGCGATCTATCTCGATGCCGGCCGGCGAGGCCGGCGGCGGCGTGTTGCAGCGGGCAGAGGAGCAGCGCGTACATACCAAAGCTTGAACCTTTCAGCCGGAGTAAGATCGATCGGAGGCTAAAGGACCCGCCTTTTTTGCAGAAGTTTGAGAACGATCTCACTGGTTCGCCTTTCGGTCCTCCCTTGATTGGAGATCTTCTTTTTGTGCTGTTTTATTCATGTTTGTTTTTTTAATTGAAATTAGTTTGGGTTTTTTTTTTGTTTTTCCATTTTGTTTTCCAATCGTTGAGTATTCAGTATGATGGTTCATGGCTTTTTGGTTTTATGTTGGATTTCAGTAAATCAGAATTTGGTTAATTCTGTAAATCCCAATTTACTTTTAAGGTTTGATGATGTAAATATATGAGCAGAATTCAGTTTTTTGTGATTTAATCGGGAACTTGGTGAATCTGTTCAAGATCATTTGGCTAGGTTTGAACAGAATCCTCCCTAATTCCATAACCAAACAAAAATAGAAAGTTTTAGATTTCTTACAGCAAAAAATTTTAAAAGATCTGTTTCAGCAAAGTTTTAGATTGATGCAGTGCTTGTAAAAGAGGAAAATTCTTTCATTTTTGCATCTAATCACCTTTCTGTCTTACTAATGTAGTTATATGTTCAATCCCTCAATTTTTTTGTTTCCATGTTTATATCATTTTCTTAATTAGAATAACTTTTTCTGCAAAATTTTACCTTTTTTCCAGATTACTGCTCAACCCTTGAAGGGGACAAAGCCTACAGCTGCTGGATGGCCTACTTCAAGCTGAAAGATCTTGAAGTATTTTTGATATTACTAATTAAAAATTTTCAGACAACTTTCCCTCATGACAACAATACTGCTATTTCCATATATTTAAAATTTATGTGAACAATTGCAGGAGGAAATGACGAGAGAACAAGTGGAGAAGTTTGTAAGGCAGGCTGGTGGAGTAAAATCTTTTATTGGATGTTTGCATGGGTTAACAGCAATGCTTAAAAATGATGCAAAAAACCAGCAAAAGCACATACCATCAAATTTTAAGGCCGAGAAAGAAGCGCCCGTCCATGTACCCGACGGCATCCCGAAAACAAAGCAAGAGCTAGAGGAAGAAGAGAATGGAAAAATGCCGGATTCTTCCTTCACGAGGCTTCTAAGGACCATGGGAAGGGCTCCTGCTTGGTATTCTCAAGCCCCGGATCATGAAATGTGAAGAATAAATGCTTTGTTGTAAGTTTCAATGGCAATGCTTGCATGGAGTTTGTGCTACAGGACCGGCTCTTATGAGTGGAGATGGATGGGGAAGTATAAGCATTGTTTATGCTTGTTGATATCTTTCGTATGATGCGGAACTGTGGATATTGGTCTTCACTGGTTTTGGCTCACTGTTTCACTTAAAATAATGTGAAGATTAGTGTAGTTTTATAGTGATGTAGATTTGTATTTTAAGGTATTCACAACTAAAAAATGTGATTTTAGAAGCAGAAGTATGCTGTAGTTTAAACCGCCAATAATAACCCCCTATAGCAAACTAATGTGCCCCGCTCCCTCACCCAAATGTTTGATTGTTCTTATTTCAGAATAAGTTATTTACCTTTTGATGTTTGTTTTATTCTTTCAATATTGAAGGATAAGGGTCTTTTGTATATCATATGTTTTACAGTTGTTTCTTCTTATGAGTGTTTGCTACTTTTTTTTTCTTTGGAAATGTAGAAATGTTCATAGTTTTAGATAAGGAGGTGATTCAGTTTAATTTGATTTTTTGGTGTTATGTTTTCACTTAACATTATTATTGTCGGTCCCAAATCCCGGATGTGAAAAATAAAGAGTTGTGTTAAGTAGTCAACAAATAACTTAAAATTTATCGAAAAATCATGATTAGAATTCTTTTGATCACTGTGTGAATGCTACGGTGTCTCTTGGAGTGTTGTATGATCTGAATACAGTGAAAAGTGTATAAAAACTGCTACATCGACATGTGGGTGTAGTGTCAAATAAGCAAAGGTTCTCATGTTACGGACTGATGTGGGGAAAGAAGTTAGTTCATAAAACTAATATTAGGATAGATACTTGGAATATAGGTACTCTCACAGGTAAGCTAATGGAATTTGTTGATATTTTTATTCATAGAAAGATAAATATTTTATGTATTCAAGAAACTAAATCGGTAGGAGAAAAAGATGAGGAGATTGATAACTTAGGTTTTAAACTTTGGTATTCATGTATGAGTCGTACTAGAAATGATGTAGGTTTAATCATAGATAAGAGTTTGAAAGATAATCTTGTTAAAATTAATATAATTAGAGATAGAATTATAGCCCTTAAGGTTGTTGTTGATATTAAAATTTTTAATATTATAAGTGTTTATGCTCCTCAAGTTGGTTTATATATAGGTTATCGAAAAAAATTATGGAATAACCTAGAAGAATTAATATAAATGATATCTCTTGAAGAAAGAATTTTTATTGGAGGAGATTTAAATGGACATATTGATGGAGTGATAGAAGATTTTAGAAATATTCATGGTGTTATGATTTTGGAGTGATTAATAAAGAATGTAGAGTCATATTAGATTTTCTTTTTTGCATGATTTTGTTATTGTTAATACTTTATTCAAGAAAAGAAATGTGCATATTGTTATGTAAAAGAATGAATCTAAGAAAATACAAATTGATTATTTTTTCTTAGAAGAAGAGATCATTGAGAATGTAAAGATCATAAGATCATTCCAAGCGAGAATTTAAAAACCCCAACATCGATTGATAATTCTGATTTTTAAGATGAATAGTTGCAAAATAAAAAATATTATGAATCATTGTGATAGAATTAGTTGAGGTCACTTAGAAGACACACATAAAATTATTTTTATGAGTGAACTTTAAGAGTTTGAGATTAGGGATGTTCATGAAAAAATAAATTTTATGTGGGATAAAGTAACAAATATTATTAAGCAGGTGGTGAAACTTGTATTTGAAGAGTCAAAAAGAAAAGTTTCCATGAATAAAAATAATTGGTGGTAGACTTATAATGTGCAAGAAAAGATAAATATAAGAGATTATGTTATAAAAAATTGTTTAAATGTAAAAATTTAGAGAACTAAGAAAAATATAAAATGACCCATAGAGAGTTTAAGAGAACAATATATGATGCTAAAATTTTGCTTTTAGTGATCTTTATATAGATTAGATACTAAAGAGTGTGAAAAATATATGTATCAACTTATCAAATAAAGAGAACAGAAATATAAAAATTGAAAAAAAAGTAAAGATTTAACTCAAGTAAAGTGTATTAAAGATGAAAAACAAAAAGTGTTTTTGTTAGAAAATGATATTCAACACAGGTGTGTGAGTTATTTTGATAAATTTTTCAATGAAGTTTCTGAAAATTCGATCAGCCTTAGTAATCTTAATATCATTAATAATAATAAAATTTTTTATTTTTATCGTTACATTAGTAAAAAAAATTGAGGAAGCTTTAAAGAAAATTAAAGGTAGAAAGTCTGTCGGGCCTAATGATATCTTAATTGAGTGAAAAATATTTAAATGATTTTGGAGTTTCTTGGCTTAATGAACTCTTTAATATTACTTTTAATAACTAAAAAGTTGTCTAATGAGTGGAGGAAGTGTGTTTTGGTCCTTATGTTTTTAAAAAAAAGGAGATGCATAAGAATGTGCAAATTATAGAGGAATTGAGTTGACGTGTCATGATTTAAAATTATGGGAGATGATAATTGAACATAGTTTAAAGCACCTTACAAAGATTTTTCATAATCATTTTGAATTTATGTCGTGCAAGTCTACTATGGAAATTATATATTTATTGAGAGGTTTGATGGAGAAGTACACAAAGAATAAGGAGGTTTTACATGTGATTTTTATTGATTTAGAAAAAGCTTACCATAAGGTTTCAATAAATATCTTTTGGAGAATTGCAGAGAATAAAGGTGTTGATATGACTTATGTTCAAGTCATTGAAGATATGTATGCTAGAGTTGTTACTTGTGTTCAAATAGAACAAGGGTTGGCCAAATATTTTTCTACTTCAGTTGGATTACATCATGGATTGGCTTTAAGCTCATATCTTTTTGCTTCAGCTAGTGTTTTTTATTCTTTCTATTTTTATGGATGAAATTGCACTGTAAGAAACGTATTTTTGTGTTTATCTTGTAAGTACAACAAGCGTTTTAAGTTGGGAAAGCTGGAGAGGACGTGGAGCTAAAAGGTGCAAATTGGCTACTGGGCGCCTAGGTGTTGGACCCTTGTGCGCGTAGGCGCCAGACCCAACTTCACCAACCCGAGAGCTCGACATTTAGGCACCGGGTCATGGGTACCTAGGCGTTGTGACTTAGGCGCTAGTCGTCGGCCCCTTAGGCGCATAGGCACTCATCTCTTCTTTAGTAGACAGAGAGCATCAAGCTTAGGCACCAGCAACTGTACCCTGTAGTTGGTACAGATCAAGACTCCAAACATGGGGGATCGTGTGGGGAATTGTGCAGGGCTGTAGAAGAGTCGTGGAAGCCATGTCAATGAGTTTATAAATAGCAATGCATTGCAAGCTTGAGTGGATTGATGTTGTTTAGAGTACTTATTGGTTTTGCTTAGTTTCAAAGTTCTCTATTTCTTCTTCAGTGCAGAGGAGGTGGAGTTCTTTCTGTGCAGAAGCTTAGGAAATCAGGAAGAATGTTGATTAAGAGTCTGTTTGGGGTGGCGGTAGAGCAACTGAGCGGCGCTCTGCCGCGTGTTTACAGTGTTTGGGGTGGCAGTTACGCCGCGGTGGCCCGTGAATTTCCTTAAAAGCGGGCCGCAGGATCAACCCCGTGGCTCTGCTTCGCGCCCGCGGCGCCTTCGGCATTTTACGCAGGTGCCCTCCTATTCGTGATTTTGCCCTTCTTCTTTGTCGTTCGCTGCGATTCGCGTTCGTCTGTGATCCCGATTTCGCCCTAACTCCATCACTCACAGCTCACAAAGCCCTCAGTGAAGTCCCCTAAAATTCCCACGCAAAGATCTCCTTCCCCGCTCGAAGCTCTCCTTCCCCGCTTGAAGCTCTTATCCCCCGCTCCCTCATCACTGTTCTGCACGAAATTCCTCCTTCCTCGCTCGAAATCGTCCCTTACTCCCTCATCCTCCTCCTACGTGAAATTCTTGCTTCTCTGAAGTCCATCTTTCACTCGAATCTCTCCTTCTCGAAGTGAAATTCTGCTTCAAAAGTATCAAACAGTTCTGTTTTAAACAGTTTTACCAAATAAGGGCAGCATGGTCATTTTTTCAGAAACAGCTGCCCCAAAGTTGTTTTCACACAGCTGCACCAAATAGACAGCCAGCTTCCCCGCAATAGCTTCCCCGCAGCAGCTTCCTCGGGCAGCACATCTGCAGCTGAAAAGCTGAGAAGCTGCAGTTGTGCCAAACAGACCTTAAGAGTCTATTTGGGACAGCTACAGCTTATCCAGCTTATCCTGATAAGCTGCTTATCTGATAATCTGGTGATACGCAGGTGATTCAGATAAGCTGCCTGTCTATTTGGTTTGTGCATTTAGAGAACAGCTAATTCTAGAAAAATGATCAATCTGCCCCTATTATGGATAAGCTCAGCTATTTGGTTTGTGTGTTTTGTAAACAGCTGAAGCATATTAATTTTCTTTTTTGCACATCTATCACAGCTCTTCCTGTTGCAAGAAATGGTCTCCCCAAAATAATAGGAATCTCTTTATTTTTCTCTATATCTAATACTATAAAGTCTACAGGGAAAATAAATTTATCAACTTTTACTAATACATCTTTTATAACTCCTTTCGAATAAGTTGTTGATCAATCAGCTAACTGAAGAGTTACAGTAGTAGGGGAAGTCTCTCCCAAATCTAAACGTTTAAAGATCGATAAAGACATTAGATTGATACTCGCTCCTAAATCACATAAAACTTTTCCAAAAAATTTTCATCAATAGCACAAGGTATAGTAAAACTACCACTATCTTTTAATTTTTCAGGAAGCTTTTTCTGAATAATAGTACTACACTCTTCACTGAGTGCAACGGTCTCATAATCTATAAACTTTCTTTTCTTGTTTAGTATATCATTCATAAAATTCACAAAACTTGGCATTTGTTCCAAAACTTCAACAAAAGGAATGTTTATTAATAGCTTCTTAAGAATTTTCAAAAATTTTGTAAATTGTATATCTTTATTCTTCTGCTTCAGTCTTTGAGGAAACGGAGGTAATGTTTTTTTCTAAAGGACCTTGTGTTTGTTCATTTTCATTTTGGTCACTTTCCATTACTTCTCTTTATCAACTTCAATTTCTCTTTGGATTCTTGTTTCAACTTCTTTTCCACTTCGTAATTGAATATGTTTAATTTACTTCTTATTTTGATCTTTTGGATTAACTTCCACAGTACTTGGAAGAATTTCAGAAGGTCTGTTACTGAGTGCAGTAGCAATATGTCCTAATTGATTTTCAATATTTCTAATAGCAGCCCTTTAATTCTGTATTTGGTTTTCCATGTTCAACATTAAATCTTCCATTGTCAACTTCTTTTTCTTAACTTATGGGTTAGGGTTCGAGTTAAATCCAAGAGAATAATAAGGTCGAAAATTAAGATTTCCTTGGTTG